CCTCAGCCCAGATCCCATCCCTCCTGCCTGGGCTGGAGGTAGTAGCAGGATCCACTCACCCTGCAGAGGCAGCGCCAGAAGAGGGCTCTCTGGAGGAGGTGGCACCTCCCATGCTGCAAGGCAATGGCCCTGAGGCCCCCCAGACCCTGGACAGCACTGACCTCGATGTCCCCATAGAAGCTGTGACATGTGAGTCCAAGGGCACTGGGGACTTGGGGTGGCAACATGTATGGGTTGAACTAGGGAATCCAACCTAGAAAGGTTGGCAGAAACGCAATGGGTGTCCATATGTGCATCCACTTGGCCATGACCTTGATAGTGATAGTAGCATGGGCAGAGGAAGGTATAGACCACTGTCACTATGCTTTCTGTCATGGGGAAAGACCTCCACTACCACATGATGAGGGTGCGGGGGACTGTGGGCAGGCTCTACTTAGTGAGGCGTAGGGCAGAGGGTGTGAGGTTGTGTGGTAAGAGGAAGCCCTGGCCTCAGAGTGGTGGGGCAGGGAGCAGGAGCCTGAAGCAGCCCCATCCTTGAGGGCATCTAAAGGAAAAGGAAGAAGAGAAGCCCCCAGCTGCTCTGGGAAACAGGAGCAAAATTCAGCTCCACCCCCAGGCCTGGCTTGATGTCTCCAGGAGATCCTGGGAGAGAATTCTCTACCCTCCCCTCAAAAGCAGGGGGAGCAACACTGGGATTATTATAGAATAACTAATAAAATCCCTCAAATCTATGGACACACGTTAACTTTCCAACTTTCTTTCCATGAAAGAGCTCATGTGCTCTCCAAATCAGCCTGTAGTGAGGCCACAGGATGGTTCCTGCCAAGCCTATTTTACAGATGAGGAAACTGAGGCACAGAGAACAGCTCAACCCTGGTTACAAGCTGGAAAACTCAGGTCTCCTGGCCTAGTGATCGCTACCATGCCTGCCTGCCCAGCTGGCGTTGGCATGCTGGACAGGGAGCCGCCTTCAGCCAGGGCATCTGGGGCTAAGTTGGACTCCCTGGAAGTCAGGGTTGCTAATCCTGCTAGCACACTGCCCCTGGCCTCCTCCAGACACACCCACTAGCAGAATTGAGAGAAAGAGGTCAGTGCTGTGGCCACGGAGAAGGGGGCCTGGATGGGAGTGGGACAGACACTTCTGTGTCTGTGGGCCCTGAGTGTTTGCTCTGTGACTCAGCCCCCACCCTTCCCCCATGGCCACCCCCACGGCAATGGCCACAGGCAAGCTCTGTGTCAGCCCACACCTCCCAGGGCCCTCAGCTCACCACACACTCCCACCCTTTGGTCACTGTGCCCATGTTTAGGCAGCAGGGCAAGGGGCACTGAAGCTGGCCAAGAAGTTGGCCCAGTCACCCTCTGTGAGGTGAGGAGGAGGGGGCAAGATGATTCAGGCCTGGCCACTTCCCATGGCCTTACCCCTGTTTACCCAAATGTAGCCACCAGCCACACCTCCTGCCAGAGGCTCCCAGCATGGAGCCTCTCCAGAGCCCCATCTCCCACCCTCCCAACTGCTCACTCTGTTCTGAGGTCCTTTCTCTCAATCTCCAGGCCCCTCTCCTCCACTTCCTAGCCATGGGACCTTTGGCAAGTTTTACACTCTCCGGGCCTCAGTTTTCTCATTTGTGAAATAGGGCCAATAATGGATCTATGGTTTTGCTTAAAGTTACTGCAGGTAAAGTTCTTAGCTTGGCACCTAGTGCCTAATAACTGCTCAAAACACAAGCTGCTGTGGTAAGAGTGGTGGTCATTGTGATAATGCAGCTTATTCCGTAGGCCTGTCTTCCAGCCTCCGCCCCTGCCTGCCCCTCTGTCCTCTGAGCCCTGACTCCTGAGGCTGGACTTACTAGCTGACACTTAACTAGCTGTGTGACCTTGGGCAACTTACTATACATCTCTGGGACTCAGTTTCCTCATCAGTAAAAGAACAATAGAGAAGATCTGATGAGACAATAATTAGCCAGTGCTTAGAGCAGTGGCTGCCACGTAGTAAGTATTCAGTGTTCCATCTGGTGACGACCACACTACCAGAAGCCCCAGCCCCCTCCGTCACAGGAAGCACTGAGGCCACTCTCCCCTCTCCTCAGCCCCAGGGCCCCCAGACATCGCCCTCCTACACAGTCCAAATACAGACCAGACAGGGGCAGGAGGGAGTTGGGGACCCAGACCCACTTCTGAAGGGCTACAGTGTCCCACAATTACAGTGGGTCCTCAGGGCCAGGGAGCCCACCCAGGAGTCAGGGTATTGAGCAGCTGAGGGGTCCCAAGGCTCTCAGTGACCCCGTCTCAGTCCCCACCCCCACACACACCTGCCTTCATCTCTTGAGAACAGAACTGAGCCATCCAGTACTCATTCAGACTGAGCATCCCTGAGTGAGGGGCAGGAAGGAACTGGGTTTGGTGAATCTCCAGGGCCAGCTTCCCTGTACCCCACTGATAAACCTAAAGTGTGGTCCCTCAGCCTGGGATGGGGACCCAGGGTTCTCCCCCGGCTTCCCTTTTGCCTTCTCTCCCTCTTCCCCAGATGCCAAGGACTCCTCCCCAAACTCTGCCAGGACTCCTCTGTAAAGAGGATGGGCAGGAGGTGTGGAGGCTGAGGCTTGCTTGGAAGTGCTCAGGCAAAGGAGCAGGAGGTAGAGGGGCTGCTGTGAGGAGCCCCTGGATTCCAGGCCAAGCGTTCATCTCCAAACAGATGTTTCCAATAAATCACCCAGCACACCAAGGGCAAAAACAGCTGGGGGCTTGGCAGAGGCCAGGGTGAAGGTTAACTGCTTCACTGCTGTCCTCCTCTACCCTAGGCAAATTGTAACTGTCCCCCCTCACCACCACTACTCTTGTCCAAATCCCTGGATGCCAAGAGCAGGAGAATAGATATATGTGGAGTAAGAAGGGGTCCAAGGCTTTGAGCCCCTGTCCCCTTGCCTTGCATTTCTGTCTTTTCTGGAATGAGCACAGGACTAAATTTCATGATGTGGCTCTCGGGTAGTTGTTTCTGCTCTGTGGGCCTCAGTTTCCCCTGCCCTGGGTATATCTGTGAATGAAGCAAGCAGGAATAGAGCAGAGCTCTGGGGGGCTGGTTGGCCCCCACCTTTCCCCATCGCCCTTTCTCTTCATCTTTCCAGGCCAGCCTCAGGGGAACCCCTTGGGCTGCACCCCACTACTGCCAAATGGCGCTGGCCATCCCTCAGAGCTGGGCAGCACCAGGCGGGCAGGGAATGGTGCCCTGGGTGGCTCCAAGGCCCACCGGAAGTTGCAGACACACCCATCTCTCGCCAGCCAGGGCAGCAAGAAGAGTAAGGGCAGCACCAAGTCCTCCGCCTCCCAGATTCCCCTGCAGGCACAGGAAGGTAAGTGACCATCCCACCTCTCCCTGGGAGAGGCCTCCAAAGCCAGCTTCCTCAATACTTGATCCAGGGACCAGCAGCTGCATTTCCCTCGAATTCCTGTTAGAAATGCCGAATTTCAGCCTCCTTCCAGTGTAGATCTGAATCTCTGGGGTGGGGCTTAACAAGCCCTCTAAGGAGCCTGGTGTGTGCCTATTGGGTAAAGTAAGGCATTCCCCTGTTTTCAAGGGCAACCCTCATCCCTGCTCTCCCAGAGTTGTTGTAACAAGGAATGGAGCCACTGGGCTAATCCAGTTTAAGCCGTTCCATTTCTGGAAACAGAAATTTTCCTTAAGGAGTGGAGCATCTGGTTAGGGTGAGAAAAAGAACACTTAACCAGAATAAAATGATGTTTAATTGGGGGCTGGGGTGGGAGCTGTGAGGTGTTCAGAGCACTCAGACATGCCAACCAGCCATTATTCCTATAACACGAAGGTCCTCTGCAGGGCCAGCCTGGGCATTACTTCTATATGGTGACAGCTACCTGCAGCTCCGTGCCTGCCTGACCTTCACCCCAGAATTTTTTTTCTTTTTTTGTTTTGAGACAGGCTCTCAAGCTTTCACCCTGGGTAGAGTGCATGGCATCATAGCTCACAGCAACCTCCAACTCAGGTTCAAGTGATCCTCTCGCCTTAGTTTTTCTGTTTATTAGTAGAGCTGGTCTCAAACTCATGAGCTTAAGCAATTCACCCACCTCGGCCTCCTAGAGGGCTAGGATTACCCCAGAATTTTTAAGTGATTCCTGTCCATGTTGGGGGACCCTGGACCGGTCATCTGCAAACGGGATTTGATTTATACATTTGCAATTGAGTGTTCAGACACCTTCCTACCCCATAGAGCAGATTCTGCCCAACAGTCTTATTTATGAAGGAGGCACTTATTCATTTCTAATGTCCTTGGCATCTGCTGGGTGCCTGGTTCATGCCCTGATAAAGCGCTCATGGGAGAGTCACACATGGGTAACCCATGCAGTGTGATAAGTGTGACAATAAAGTCACATACAGAAGATTGTGTGAACATAGGGGGACACCGTGCCAGCCCAGCAGGCTGGGAAGGGAAGGCTGGGGAGGCTGCAGAGGAGGTGTCTGAGCAAGTTTTAAAGGATGGGTAGGAGGAGGCAGCCAGAGAGCAGACGTGAGAAATGGCTAGACGATGACGTGCAAGGTGAGGAACGGGCTTCATAAACCAGGCGGTGGGTGGACCTGGACATTATCTGAGGGCAGTGGGAAGCCACTGATGGTCTTTAAACAAGGCAGCGGTGACCTCCGGGGATTTGCATTTTTAGACAACTACCCTATCCAGTTTGCAAGACCCTGTATAGGCCCCTCACATCTCCACACAGGAATGTGGGAGGACAGGTCAGGCCCCACCACAGCAAAGTGAGACTCCCCAGGGGCCTGCCTGGTCAGGGGAACTGGACACTCTGCTCATGGCCTGGCCCTAGGAGGGGAGCTCCACATCCAGTAGCATGCCGAGGGGCTCGGCATGGGCTCTGGACCCAGCCTGCCTGTTTTCAATTCCTACCTCACCCCCAACTACCAGCTGGGTGCCCAAGGGCAGGATCATGTATTAATTCATTAACATTCATTCACTGAGCACCTCTATGTGCCAGGCATTGTTCTAGGGACTGGTAATATATCAGTGAATAAAACAAAGATGGCTGCCCTGGTGAAACTGATATTTGAGTAGGAGGAGATGATAATAAACGTGAGGAAGGTGTGTAGCACAGTGGAAGGTGGCCATGCAGGGCTGGGACTGAGAGGAGGAGGCTGGGGGTGAGGTAAGCAGTCACAGTATCACAGTGCAGCAGCATCAGTGTCAGAGGAAGGTGGTGGCAGTCTTCAGCAAAAGATAGCCTTTGGGCAAAGGAGGAGGGCAGGGAGGGAGCCGTGTACTTGGGGCAAGATTGCCTCTGGCAAAGGAAGCAGGGCCTGTACATCCAAAGAACACCATGGAGGCCAGCATGGCTGGGCAGAGTGATCAGGGAAGAAGTGGGAGAAGGGAACTCAAGGGGGCAAGAACCAGATCACACCAGGCCATGGGGCCACTGTAAGGGCTTCAGCTTTTACTTACTCTGAGTGAGGTGGGAGCCATTAGAGGGTTCTAAATTCAGGAGAGGCAGGGTCCTTCTGGCGGCTGTGTAGAGAGCATGTGAAGGGACCAGTGGCCTAGAGCAGGGAGTGGGAGACAACACGGGGCTGCCGCAGCATCAGGTGAAAGATGAGCAGTGGTAGGACTCCGGAGTTTTGACTCACTTCTCTGCACCTTAGTCTGCTTCTGTAGAATGTGGCTAATGATAGCCCCTGCCTCACAGAGTTGTTGGAAGTTTAAATTAATTTAATTCTTGCACACCACTTAGAACAGTGCCTGGAACACGTCATCACTCCCTGTATTTGTTAAATAAATAAACTACGGGTGGTTAAGAGCAGGGACTAATGATCCTGAATGCCTGGGCTGGAGCACCGCTCTGGTGTGCTTAATTCTCTATGCCTCGGTCATCACCTACCAAATGGAGCTAGCTGTAGGGACAGCTGAGCACTGAGCACAGGCAGCCATCGTCAGCACGTGGTCCCCTGCCAAGACTGCTGCTGCTGGTGTCCCATGCCCCTGGCTAGTTCTCTCACGCACATGCTCACCCACCCTGCAGACTGCTGCGTCCACTGCATCCTGTCCTGCCTGTTCTGCGAGTTCCTGACGCTGTGCAACATTGTCCTGGACTGCGCCACGTGCGGCTCCTGCAGCTCAGAGGACTCTTGCCTCTGCTGCTGCTGCTGCGGCTCAGGCGAGTGCGCCGACTGTGACCTGCCCTGCGACCTGGACTGTGGCATCCTGGACGCCTGCTGCGAGTCCGCCGACTGCCTGGAGATCTGCATGGAGTGCTGCGGCCTCTGTTTCTCCTCCTGACCCGCCAGCTGGGCCTGCCCGGCTGCCACACGAGGCTTGATTAACACCCTGCCACGCTGGTCCTCTCCCACCCACCCAGCGCCCCCTCTGAACCCTAGCCCTGGTGACACAGGGGCGCCTGGAAGGGCCATCTCAGCTGTGGGAGGTGGACCCACAACAGAGGAGCCTGTCCTCACCACTGAGGACCTGGGGGCCTTTGGGGGCCAGCGCCAGGGCTGGGGAACACTGTGAAAGTTAGGGGAGGGGTGGGGGCGTGGGGAGGGCAGGGCCAGCAGGGCTGTGTGCTCTCTACCTCTCCCTGTCCTGATCCCACCTGTCCCCTGTAACCCCAGGCCTCGAGGACAGTAAAATGTGAAAATGAGACACCCCACCCTGCCCCCAGCCAGCCCTTCCCATCTCCTTTCCTGGGCTCTTGTAGGGGCCCAAGCCTTGTAGTGACCGGAGAGGGCAGGGCTGGGCACAGGCCTGGATGGGGTGAGAGGGGGTACAGTAAGGAAATGACTGGAAGGGAAGAGGGAGGGAATGGAAGGAGGGTCTGTTCTATTTGTTGCTGTAAATAAAGATATTTGTCCACCTCAGATATCCTCAGGACTCATTTCCATGGACCACCACTCTCAAAAGTAAACACTCCCCACAGCCCCCTACGAAGCACCCAAATGGATAAGGTGTCCCCGGCCCTGAGGTCTCTTCCTCTTCTGCTCGTCTCACCCAGAGAGCTGCCCTGCCCTTCACATCTCCCTGGCTCATGTTGCCCCTAAGGAAGATAGTTAGAGGGGTAGCAGGGAAGGGGAAGCCCAGAGAGGGAAGCGTTAACCCTTGCTATAGAATTATTAACAACAGATGTGTTCAGGTTTTGTGTTAATCTCCTGCTGACTCCAGTTTTTCAAATTCTTGTTCATGAAGTTGCTCCACGGCCTATTGTGATGTTCGTGTCAGTGGCAGAGAGGTGCCCAGTGAGGGGGTCACCTAGGCCTCATGCAGCCTGAGCTTGCACCGGGCTTCCCTGGGAGGCAAGCTGTGGTCCAAGTGGGGCTCACACACCCAACCTCAGTCATGCCCCAAAGCGCCAGGGGTCCTGAAAAGGAAGGAAACCCTGCCAGACTGCAGGGGCCCTGGAGCATCTATCAGGCTCTCTTGGTGTGCAAGGGGAGGGGCAGGTCTGGAATACAGACCCTGATGTTGGGGGCTGGGCCGGGTAAGCCCCAACTACACACACTCTGGACCCAGAGGAAGCCAGAAGAGGTCCAGGGGACAAGAGAGGCTGCCCCATATCAAGGAGACTTGGATTGTCCTAGGAGAAGATTTAGCTAAGGAAGGTTTTGAAAAGTGGGACCACAAAGGATATTGGTGGGCACTGCTTCCAGAAGGAAAGCCAGAGTGATTCCAAGGAATTCTGGAAGAAAGGAGGAGGACTGGGGGAAAGGGCCAAATGAAATCCAGACTCTCCTAAGCAATGTCATAGGAGGGGCCTTGGGAGTGCGCCTCACTGCAGCTGCAGGAGGAGGCTGTGACAGGCAGTAAGGGGGACTCTCCCGCTCCCCGCCCCACCTGTAGGTACATGGGCCTCACTTGGCCAACTACAGAGTTTTCCCACCTCAGGGAGCACACAAGAAATTTAGGACACAAAGAGGAAGGGACCTGCCCAGAGCCACACAGTAAAGCCCACAGAGAAGCCCGTAGGCCCCTGGTATTCATTTATTTCTGTGCTCGTGTTTATTTGTATTTTGTTGTTCAGTCATTGCATGCCCAAGGGATAAAAGGTTTAAAGGTCTAATCAAACATTGACATGCACGTTTTGTTTTCTTAGCATAACGTGAGGGTCCTAGACACATTGTCCATCACTTGGCCACATGTCTTGTGGAGCTTCCTTAGCAGTACAGGAAGAGCAGCCTGGAGTTTCCCCGGGTGACTGAGCCACAGTCCAGTGGCCAGTTCTGCTCTCAGTCCTGTTTCAAGCTCTCTGTTAAAAGCAAGGCTGCATGAACATAGCCTTTTGCATGAATGAGCTGCAGTGGTGGAATGTTCCTGAACGTGGGATTGCTGGGCCTAACACTGCAGCATTGCCCAGTCACCCTCTGTGAGAGTTTTACCAGCCTTGCTCATGTGGCCTGGGGTTATCCTACCTACTTCTCCCACTGGGAGAGACAGTGGAGGGGAGGCTGAGGGATGCTGGGGAGGCCAAGAGGATCAGGGGGCGGAGGGCTCCTGACCTACTTGATATCTGGTCCAGGTGGGCAGGAAGGCCCCCTCCTGGCCCTCTCGCTTTGCAGGGCCCAGGCAGGAAGAGGTGCCTCTGCAATCCAAACAGCGATTTCCTGCTGCAGGCTCCAGGCTGTTTTCTTTAGGACAGTGGCTGAAACCTGAGAGGCTGAACTGGGTGGGGGTGGGACAGGGGAATAATTTAGCCATCCCCACACACACATATACACTGCAAACACACACTCACTTCAGACCCACCCACCCCCCACACACACACAGAGACTCTCCATATAGTCACACACATACATTCCACACTGCCTCGTGAATCCCACCCCCACATCACTCACACCACATGTACACACACAGATAGGCACTCACACTTGTCACATTTCAGAGCCTACAGCCACCACCAGCCCTGGCCAGCCGGGGGCTGGGCTGCAAGGACCTACGTCCATTCCATCTTTAACCTATGCCTGCCCTGCCTTCCTCACCCCTACCTCCTTGTCCAAATGGCCCTCAACCGCTCTGGGAAGCAGATGCACTTGTCTAGAAGCCACCCACCCACTCACTGCTCCTGAGATATCCCCCACCAGGGCAAGCCCTAGTTCTGGACCCTTTCCCTCTCCCCATGGTGGTCCACCATTGGCTCCCAATCTGTTTTCCAACTGGCAGGTCTGAGCCAAGTGACAGTTCCAGGACTGGCTCCGCTGTGGGCCTTGGGGAAGAGACCCTTTCCTCTCTGGTCCTTAGTTTCCTTGTATGAACAATGGAGCAGCAGTGAGGCTCTGGAAATCTAATGCTTGCCACAGTGTCTGGGGAATAACCTGCCTCTTTGGTTTTCTTTCATCTTTGGAACAGCAGACTGGCCCACTTTTGTCCAGGAGACTTCTTGAGGGGCCACCCGCATCCCTGAGTGATCTAAAGAGGCAAGCATTGATCACCACACTTGTAGGAGGTAAGGTGGCGAGGCTGCGTTGAGGTATCCTTAGCCAGGACCTCCCAGCATCACCCAGGAATCTTGGCACCAAACCCAAGAGAGGCTGCTCCATGATGGAACAAGCAGCTGAACCCAGGACAGGTGAGGGGCAGGGTGATCAGCCCACCCTGTCTGCCTCTATAGTCTCCATAGACGTCTCCCTATATTTGGAACATTTAACTGGCCTTTCCTGTTATTGTACCCAGAGTTGACCAAACTGAGCTTCAGCCCCCCTCCCCGCCCCATTGCTCCAGAGCTGACAAGACAGGACAACTTTAAGTAGCCCCCGTGTTGAACTGAGCAGGTCCACCCCTACTCAAAGCCAGTCGTGCCCAAGGGCCTTCACCCTTTCTCCAGGGGATGACCCATTAGTGGGGCTGGTCCCTCTCAGGATAGCTGCTGCACACTCCCTATCACTAAGCAGTGGGCACAGGATTCCACAGTGGCTCAGAAAACATTAGATTGGTCACTCTCAGGACTTGCCCTAAGTGAAACTGAGACAATAGCCTCAGGCCACAGGTTGGGACCCCCAGGGGTTAGAAATCACAGACCTGGCCCTTTGTCACCTCCATGCTGAAGCTCCTTGGATGATAAGGACACAAGGCATGGGATGGCACCAGCAGCCACAGCCCTCCTATCAACCTAGCTGTCCCCTCATCTTCCACATCCTCTAGGGAAAAGCCCTTGCCAGCCTTTCCTTACCCCTCACCCGGCTGGTTTCACTACCTTTCTCTCAGCCCTGTGGCCACCTCTCTACCTTCAGTTCCTGCCCTCTCTGGGTCTGCTTGCTTCTGGGCACTGGCCTCGTTCCCTCCTACTGCAGACAAATGGGGTGGGGTGGAGAGAGGAAGCTTGTCACACACTGTGTCTACCTGGCACTGTCTCAGTTTTACCATCTCAGGGGCCACAAAGTAAAGGTCAGCTGGGCTGGCATGGGCTATAGGCTCATCTCTGGGCCAATCACTGCACTATATGTTGCCTCTGTGGCTAGGGAGGGTGGGC